CCCCCACCCCCTGGGAATCACTTGCCTTAGACTTCAAAAATTGCAGAGGCTCGATTTTGTTAGAAGACACATATGTCCGATTATCAGCAGACCAAAGATAATATTGCGCGGCACATCATATACACATCAGAAACACAAAGTTTCATATTTTATATCATACCTGCCTTTTTAAGTTGAAAAAAAAAAGGTAGGGGCTACCCCTGAAGGCTATCTCGCTTATTAGTGGGTCAAATGTTACCAAATTTCACACCTATAACATGCATAATAGGAAGTGATAAAATTCAGACTCAAATTTGAGAACAAAAAGTTTAGTTGTCGTGGAGACGGCAGCCATATTAGATTTTGTTGACCTGCCTTACGTAATGAATACTGCACTTTTTTTTCATGTAAATAGGTTGTTATTTTGCAAGCACGTTAGCAGACAATAGATCTACAATACGGTCTCTTGAATTTTTCCTGAACGAAATAAGAAATTTTTAATGTTTTTTTTTCATGAGGCTGTCTTCAAGTTTGCAAAAAATCCGTGTAACCCACACTCCAGACACCACGAACAAAAATCTATTCCGTATATATATATATATAGAAAATTCAACAGACATAATTTTAGTGTTACATCTTCTCTTCCTTCTGTGAAAATTTCATGCAGATTGGATAAACAAAGGTGGAGTTATTAAAAAAGTGTATAAAAAACTGCGTTTTGCGAAAACGGTCGATATAGAAAAGTAAACGATTGAGTTTATGAGGAAATGGTGGTGACTAACATGCCAGGTGTGTTAAAAAAATAAGGTTTTAGGGGGTTCTTATGCGATGAAATAGTTGTAAGAAAGGATGAAGAAGCCAAAAAATGCCTACATCTCAAAATCTATAATTTTTTAGCCGAATCTGGACTTTCATGGTGTACCCCCCCCCCCCCCCTTTAAAGAAAACAGACACATCTGTATCAATAACGAGGTTATCCTTCTATTAGGTGCGCTAAATCAGCGCGTCTTCAAGCATTGTCCAGTGACCAGAATGAACGTTTTCAATGAGTTATGGGCAATCAGTAACTAATAGTTAATACTTATGGCTTTTCAGTTAACAAACATTAATATAAAAAGCGTGCAAATTTCGAAGGATCAAACTCGTTGCCCAGGACAGAAAGCGACCGTTCTTCATGGCGTACGCGCGTGCGTAGACCGACACCGCTTGATGTCACGTGATCTCACTGCCCTGAGCTTTGGTCGTTTTAGTTTTCAAACTAATCAACTGGTATCTACTTCTGCCCGTACCTGTTTCCAGATACTCAAATCAAAAGAATTAGAGCGTCATGACCCACCGAAAATGCTTTCAGTTTGAGAATCTGGTAGGAACTTGCATCAGGCTTGTAAAACAGTAATTATGGGTGCGCGAATAGTCAACATGTGAGAAAAAGAATGTATGCACTTACAACAATTAGTTTTATGTACCTATAACAACGTCAGTCCAAACCTCACAATTTTCTGTTTTCAGAAACTCCCCCAGCAGTCGTTGATCTTATTTGGAAGTCCTACTTCTGAACTACTTCAGCAGAGTGCTTTGAGACTGAAGAGAACGTTTTAGCAACATGGAAGATCCTTTGATTAGTAACTCTGACTACTTCATAATTTCACAATGGCTGACGGGTATGATAGGGACAACATGCTTGCTGGGACTGTGTACGAACACCCTTAACATTAAGATTTATGCTTTTTTGAAAATGGGCCCACAGGATTCTACCCCTCTATGTTTGTTTGCTCTTTCTGTATTTGATGCTTGTGGTATAGTTGTGAGTTTGGGATGTGTAGTGACAAGATTTTTTGAGATATTGGAAAAATACCATGGCTCCATCTACTTTATACAGCCTTTTACAGACCTGATAGTATTCTAAAAGAATGTCATCTTCCTGTAAAGCATACAGTGCAAGCTGCCATTTTACAGGCCCCAGAACACAAACGAACAACACAAAATCTTTCGCTGTCTATGGCCGGGTACCCATTCACACCTGGGTAAAGTGAAAAAGATTCATGGAAAGTACCTTTCACAAGGATACAACGTCTGACTTAGCTTAGCCTGGAGCCCTTAAACCCGCAACCTCACGATGTCAAGTCCGGTAACTACCAACGTTTTTTTTTTTTTGTACTGCCTGCAACACCAGACCCCTCCCCCCTTTCTTTTTCCCCACTCCTCATAGACTTCCTTGTTGTTTTTGTTCCCTGCCACTTCTTTTCTCACCCTTCTCTCCTTCCTGCTCTTCTCCTTCCTCCTTCTTCGAACCATCAAAACAAGGGCATACTCTTTTCGACTCAAGTTTTGGCCGTGATCGGTCAGATATATTGATGTTTTTGACCATACATAATTAATTTGTAAGACTGGGTACTTCGAACAGTTAAAGGAGAAGAGCAAAGTGAATAAAAATGGCCATGAGGTAATATGGGATTAATGGTTCGTTAAAATCAAGCATCACAAGTGTACATCGAAGAACAAGCGTGCTGTTCTAGTGTTTGAGCGGTTGCACCTGGTGTACATGTGACTATTTGAATCACCCCCGCCCCCTTGCCCCCCCCTCACACACATACACACAAACAAACATACACACACAGTTTTGTTGTATTGAAACTACGTCGGAAAACTGTGACACATAGTTAGAAGTGATAATAATGATAATAATAAAAATAATCATTATAATAATAAAAAGAATAATAATGATGATAGTTCATCCTTCAACGCTTGAAGATGTCCAATGCAACTGCAGAGCGGAGTATTAGGAGAATAAATACGGTCAGGATTACTATGTGGCTTCTGCTGCAGCCAATTAGATCAATAAGATTCTGGCAAAGACAATTTAGGCACTAGCCTGGTTAGGATCAAAAAGAGAAGGAAAACTCACACGCTGTATTTCTCTATCGCGGCATTCACGACCTTGACTTTGGCGTTCTCTTGCAGGGTGTAGTTGGCCATCACACAGCGGGTGCCCACTTGAAAAAAGTTGGGGAACCGCTCGTACTCAAACCACTTGCCCATGTACTGGGTGGAAAAAAAGAAGAATTAGATCTAGAGGCAAATAACAAAAATGTTTACACCGTGTTATGCCATTGTACTTGTGTCTTGGTAACAGCAAACTTTAACTTGAACGAGAAACTTAGGAGTTTTGTTTGTTGTCGAACATTACCAATCAATTTATTTTTGGTAAACATTGTGTAAAAGGAACAATATCTACACAACAGGTTAGGATATTTACTTGTTACAGATTACATGCCTTTTCCTGGTAATTGACACTAACACGTCTCAGTCATTCTCACGTAGAACATTACAACACGAGCCTACTGGTACACCCGGGTAAAGCTATAGAATACAAACATAATAATAATATGTTATTATCATGAAATGACATAAATCAAAGTGGAAGTGTTTCCACAAAGGGGAACAACATAATAACTAATGTCCTGCTAAGGGAATGAATTGCGAGCAGGTTTAATGATTTCCCTTACATAACACATCATAATTAAAATTCATTGTTTCTGGCCTAAAGTCATTGCAACGAGTGGTTTGGTGCCTGACAGTCGCAGGCAGGAGACTTGAGTTCGCTACCCGTGTGGAGAGAATTTTTATCGAGCGTGCCGATATATCTGCTGGGAAGTTGTATCTCTCTCAGCACCCTGAGAACGTGGGTCGGCGCCTCCATCTTAAAATGATCGTAATGATCTAAACTGTTTCGAGAGTGGCGTAAAATAATAATAATAATAATAATAATAATAACAATAATAATATTGATAACAATAGTAATATAATAATAATAATAATAATAATAATAATAATAATAATAATAATAATAATAATAATAATAATAATAATAATAATAATAATGATAATAATAGATAGATAGATAGCATTTGTATGAGGCAAATTCCCGCTCAACAAGAAGCTCCAAGCGCTTTACAATCTGTACGAGTACTATTACCCCGACAAATCTTGTAGTATTCTGAAATAATCTCAATTTCCTATGTAAAACACACAAATAAAAACATCGTTCCAAATTATATATCATATTGACTTATAGATGTAATTGTCTTAAGACCGCGTCTACCCAATTTAGATAACACAGGGGGCTAGTAGCCTGGACCCTGCTTTGTGGAATCCCCATGTGATGGGCGCCCGGGAGCGAACAGGAGATCCCCGTTTGTGCAGGAATTATGTTATTTAAACGTTTTTGTTTGTTTTGGTAAGTATTTTACGGCGCTCGCCCCTGCATAAGGTCATATGAGCGCGCAGAACACATTAAACATTTTTAGTTTGCTAGGATTTAATTTTGAATTTTGCCCGGTTAGCGGCCTAAGCCTCTTCTTATTTTTGGACCACCAAGGTATCTTTAACGTGTGTAACTTGCACACAGGATCTCCGAGATTTTCGCCCTTATCCAAGAAGGTTAGGTGTTAGATCTTACCTACCCTAAGATCAAGAGTATGGCTGAAAGACAGCAGTAAGAAAGAGCCAAGGAGTAGCAGTAGAAAGATTGCAGAAAGAGACAGGAGCCCAGAGGAGGGGGCAAAGAAGAGGGGGGGGCAGAAAGTGGAGGCGAAAGCAGATGAAAGAACATGGTAGAGAGCAGGAAAGGGGTTGAAAAGAGATCAATTTGGAGAAGAAAATTTTCCTTCGCTGACAGGTTTCGAACCCGGTACCTATTGAATGAAAGGCGAACACTGTAACCTCTAGACCGCGAAAGCGCCCAAATAAACGATTTATCACATTAAAGCTGAACCAGAGTAAAACACATTGGCTAAATGTTATAGAGCCAATAAAGGCATGCTTATCATGCTCTGTAGAGTTCAATGAATCTTTAATGATTGTACTATTTTGGTGACCAAATCCTGTGCACGCTTAAAAACACATATGGTGGCGTGGTGGCGGGCCAGATGAACTGATCTTGAAGGCTACATCTGGCCTGCGGGCCGCATCTGGCCCGCGGGTCATAGTTCAGTGACCCCTGTTTTATCTCTACATGACGTCAGCCTCAGTTTCCCCATGTTCCCATTTTGTGCTTTTGCTCGGAAGGAAACGTCTGGTTAGCGTTCCCACGTCCCCACGTCGGTGTAGTGTGTGTGTGTGTGTGTGGTTTGGGGGGTGGGGGGGGGGGGGGGCGGAGGCGGCTCTATTCTTCGTCGTAAGTAATTCCATTATTTTTCCCACAGTGTTGATTAATAATGTAGATAGTGCCTAGTTTTTCTCCATCTCATATTTGTGGATCAAGAAAAAACCTTTGATCGAGTAAATAGAAACAAGCTATGGAAGATCTTAGAGCAGTACGACATCAAGGGACAACTGCTAGACAACATCAGGGCTATCTATGCCAACAGCAGAAGCGCAGTCCGCACTACCAGTGAAGCATCGGACTGGTTTCCAGTAACATCCGGAGTCAGACAGGGCTGCAATCTCTCCCCTCTGCTCTTCGTGATCTACATGGACCAGATTACAAAGGAGGCCAAACCAGACCCAGAGGCCCTCAACGAACTCATGTTTGCAGACGACCTGGCAATGATGAACAACAAGAACCAGCTACAGGAGCATATGAACCAACTAAATGCCATCTGCGAGAAATATGACACGAAGATCAGTATTAGCAAGACCAAAGTCATGACAATGAGCAGAAGACCAGACAAAGTGGATATCAACATCAATGGATCCCAACTAAAACAAAGCAGAGAATTCAAATACTTGGGCAGCATTTTCACAGAAAATGGGAAATTAGATCGAGAAATAGAGACTAGATGCCAGTGAGCCAACGCAGTCAGCTATCAACTCAGCCCTCTCCTGAAACATCCCAATATCCTCATGAGCACCAAGGCGAAGCTTATCAACACCATTTTCCTTCCAACACTCACATATCAGTGCCAGACATGGTCCCTAACAAAAGCCCTAGAGAGGAAACTGGTCACATGCGAGATGAAATGCTTAAGAAGAGCGGTCAACAAAACAAGAAGAGACAAAATTAAAAATGAAGTCATAAGAGACACCGTGGGAGCAACACCAGTCCTACCACACATTGAAAAACAAAAGGTCAAGTGGTTCGGACACCTCACGCGGATTCCCTCAAACCATCCAGCTCTGAGAGCATACAACATTAAATATTCTGGATGGAGAGCCAGAGGAAGATCACCCTCAGAGCTCACGGGATGTCCCTTCTACAGGCCACTCGCCTTGCTGCAGACAGACGCCTGTGTCTCCTCCCCCCCCCCCCCCCCCCCGGTACAAGTGGAAGAAAAAAGTAAAAGTAAGTAAAGTGCCTATTGGTCTGCCTAACTGTGTCGGGCTGGAAGGCAGGTAGTATAAGCATGAAAATGTAAAGACAGCAAAAACTCTATCAATCTTATAATGTGCAAGTTGCAAGTAACTACATGAAGAGAGCTCTTCGGCTTTTTGGAACAGGAATAGATATACGTTTTACGCGTACATAATGTCCTTGTTATGTTTCATCAATGTTTGGGATAACAAATAACACCTAAGTATTGTATCAGATAGATTGTACACAACAAAGTGCTTGCTCAGTCTGTCTCATTATTCTTTATTAACACGACACATATGCCCAGCAGAAGTCTTTGTCGGTAATTTGATTTTGGTCATGTTATGCCAGGCATTTGGCGATGGTGGGCTAGTGGTTAGGTTCTAGGACTTGCAACCGTAAGGTTATGGGTTAGTATCCCGTTTGGGGCCCGATGTTGTGTCCATGGGATAAGTAGTCTACACGAGTTTACCTCGCTTCACCCAGGTGGGAATGGGTACCCGGATATAGACAACAAAATATCTTGTCAGTTTGTCAGTGTTTGAGCGAGTACAATCCGCAGCTTGCACTGTATGCTTCCCGAGGAGCGGAGAACGTTTTTAAGTGTTCTAAGGTCTTTTTTTGTTTTGTTTTTGTAAAGTGTTTACGCGCTCGCAACTGCATAAGGTCATATGAGCGCGCGGGATACACCTAATATTTTCAGTTGGTAGGAAATTTTGAACTTTGCTCGGGTGGCGGCCGAAGCATACTCTTATCGGTTTTAGACCACCAAGGGATCTTTAACGTGCACAACTTGCACACGGGCCCTCCGAGATTTTTCGCCCTTGTCCAAGAAGGCTAGGTGTAGATCTTTCCTACCAGAAGATCAGGGGTGTGGCTGAAAGACAACAGTAAGAAGAAGCGAAGGCATAGCAGTAGAAAGGCTGAAGAAAGAATCAGAAGCCCAGAGGAAGGGGCAAATAAGGTGAGGGGGTGGGGGCAGAAAGAGGAGACGAAAGCAGACGACAGAACATTGCTAGAAGGCAGGAAATGAGGTGAAAGGAGACAAATTTAGAGAAGAAAATTTTTCGGTCGCTACCCGGATTCGAACCCGGGGCCTTTTGAATGAGAGGCCAACAGCTTAACCTCTAGGCCTCGAGAGCCCTTCTAAGGTCTACTTGTGTAAATTAATAGTAGTCCTAAAAGAGCATAGAGCATGATGTAGAGCGAGTTAGGCGTTTTATAAATAGGCCTACACGTGTTATCATTACTAAACAACATTTCCCCAACCCCCAATCCTCTCCCCCCTTCCTCACCTAGTGGGTTCGGGTGGTGTCTAATAAACCGAAAGCACACCAGTAGGAGATACAACCTCCATTCAGGCAAAACAACTCTCCTGGACGTCCATGCTCATATCATACCCGTGTGGTATGTGCTTTGATGAGTCTCCTGTCTTCCTCTCTCCCTTCTTTCCCTACTCTTATTTCAATGTTTCAATATTTGTGTCGACGGGGGTGTTAAATTATCTATATTAAAATGAAATAAAAAAACAACAACAAAGCAATACAAAATGTCCCAGTTTAGAAATGAATTAACCATATTAATAGTCATATCAAGATGGGTCTTACAATCGTATTAAGATTCTGAAAACGCGCTTGCCCCACCCCCTCCCCCAAACAAAAAAACAAACAAACAAACAAAAACCAACAAAACGAAAAATGACTTCTTTGTACAGACCCTGATAATGTCAAAGTTCTGTTGGACGGGTGGGTCAGGGCACTCGGTTCCATACCGTAGGACTGCCATCTGGGCGGACGTGGAGGCAATCATGAGGAGGAGGGAGAGGGCTGTTCCCTGGAACGCCATCTCGCCTGGAAATATGATAATTTTTAGAATAATAATAACAACAACAACTACGACAACAACAACAATAATAATAATGATAATAATGATAATAATAACAATAATAAAAAATAATAA